TCCATTGAAAGAATCTAGTCGTTTTCTTTTCTTTTTTTTTCTCCATTGCGATCAAACATTCTCGATTTTCGATTTTTATTTCGCGATAGCATCGAAACAATATAGTCGCTATCCATTTTCTTTCAAGAGGCAAAATAGCAATCTCTTGAGTTTTTCGTTTCACCGATAAAGTGAACGAAATTTTACGTACTTAATAATTCGTTTCAACAGAGAAGAAGCGTTTTAGAGCGAGTGTTGAGAAAAAAGAAAGAAAGAAAGAAAGGAAGAAAGGAAAAAGGATTTCATTGCATCGACGTGAAAAGCTGGTCAGCGAGCTGCTAATTTCTCGAGAAGACAGATTTCATCGATTGAATTCATCAACTTTTTGACAACTTATTTTCTCCGTCCTCTTCAACCAAAGACAGGCCTTTCGACAGGTCTCCGACTTTCGCGAAAGATCCGGGCACGCGATCCGCTGCTGCGAACGTCCCTCGCTATTTTCCTACTTTTGCAATTAAAAGAAGCATTTTACGAAACGACGAGCAAGGACAATATATGAAGATAAAGAATCTGGTTCCCGAAATGGCGGATAGTAACACTCCCGAGGATCGAAACACGAAAGAAAGAAAGAAAGAAAGAAAGAAAGAGACTCCTCGATGCTCCGCTAAAAACTATTTACAGACAGACTCCATCCATCGTGTAACATGTATATACATCCTGTATTCTAGTGTAAAGGATCGTGCTATTTATATACCAATATATTATATATATATATATAACGTTATATATAACGTTATATTTATCGATATTGTATGTCCGTGAACGTGCTAGTTTTGGCAGAGACGATTACTGAGAATTCATCTGCCTTTTTTTCAATTTCATACGAATCTCATTCGAAACAATGTGGCGATAAATAATATCCCTTGAAATTCTGCGTACTAACGGAATCAAGATACGAGCCATCGACGATGCACCGATCACTTTTCGAATCGTTAACGAAACGTTTCCTCTTTTATCATCTTCCCCTCCATATCGATCCTCCATTTATCCCTTCTCTCTCTCTCTCTCTCTCTCTCTCTCGCGAATCAACGATTTTTCTATCATTCGTAAAAATGACTTTTACGTCCGATTTTAAACCGATTTTAAATCGTCATTCGAAATTCGAGATGAGAGGTGCCTCGCACGATGGAAAATATATATATATATATATATATAAAATTTTAAATAACGATCGCTCCCCTCCCCCCTCTAGGATATATCATTTGGCGGCTAAGTTTTCTAGCAATACGTTACCCGTATATCACTTGTTCGACCGTTTTATAACTCGAGATTCACGTGATGATACGTGGATTTTGTGTAAATAATCGCGAACGGTTTTTCGATTAGAAAGAGATTAGAGAGGAGGCGAATCTCTGTCAATTTGCGGTGTCGATTCACTCGCACGTATACACGCGTAATTAATTAATTGAAAAGAAAAAAAAAAAAGGAAAAAAAAAAAAAAAAAAAGAAAAAGAAGAAGAAATACTGACGGACAACCGTTCTATTATTCTATCGTTCAGACGTTCTACCCAACTAATTCATGTCTGACGATCGGACCTTTTTTCTCTTTTTTTTTTCTTTTTTTTTTTTTTTAATTGTCCGATGGGATAGCGAAAGGCAATACTTCGTAAACAACACGATTATACATTTAATGAGAATAAAATAACATTTCAATCGAACAACTTCACGGATACTTCTTTTCTTCTTTCATCATTCCCAAGGTCACGAGGCAAGCGTTAAAGCGTTCGCTTCCATCTTCGAACGTTCCCCTTTCTTCGAATGAAATTTGATATAAAAATTTGACGAAAAACGAAAAAGAGAAAAAACGTTATCGAGCTCGAGCAAAACTCTCTCTCTCTCTCTCTCTCTCTCTCTCTC